TATATATATATCTTGCAAAGATGACAACAGAGATATAGAAAGAGATTAGATGTTTAGTTTTTTTAGTTTTAGTAGAGGTTCTACATTACGGGGCTCGCGACTGTATTAGGTCTTATGAGCGCCAGAAGATTAGAGGTGTTACAAGAGAGTAACAAACATAACAAAGAAGAAGGGGAGATAGGGGGATGATAGATGTTTGATAGGAAAGAAGAAGCAAAACCCCACCAGAGCACCCGCCAACCACCCACAGAGAATAGATGATACCCCGCTTACCTCCGTGTAGTACCACTGTACTGTAAAGTTCCTCCCCGCGGCGACATCATAGTAGTAGCCCACGTACACCTGGCACTCCACGCCACGGATAGTTTTCTGAAGTAGCACAATGCAGGATAGACAGAATTCGTCACATGTGAACCACAACAGAAATTGAGGCAATAGGCACTGCGACAGTTTTCTGGCTCCTCCCCCCGCCCCCACCACAAAAAAAAAATAAATAAAAAAAATAGATACAGAATAATAATATATTCACATATTTCAAAAATTTAAATCACACAGTAGATACTGTACAGTGCCTACTGATTTTAAATCGTCTGTCAAGACACAAAAAGCCATACCATCCCCAAGATTTGTACTTCGTCGGTCTTGTCAAAGTTTTAAGGCACTTGCAATACAAAAAGGTCAAATAAATGCCGAAGATTAGAAGTGTTACTAGAGAGTATCCTTGAGAGAAAAGAAGGAGAAGAGACTAGATAAGAACGATACATAGATGTTTTATAAGAAAGAAGGAGCACAGCACACCAACAGAGCACCCGCCAACCACCCTCTTGATCCACCTGAGAGTGGACGTAGTCGTGTATTCTGCAATAAGACGGTCTGTTAAGACACAAAACGCTATAACTTTAACCCTATCCGCACGTCGTGTTTTACTATCGTATCCATACGACGTGGGGAACTCTGTGCCTCCACTTTCCAAAGAAGAAATGTACTCGTTAATCCGAACCGTACGCTTTGAATAGTAGTCTTTTTTTATAGTAGAGGGGTTTACGGCGCTCGCAACTGCATAAGGTCATATGAGCGCCAAGGGGTGGATGTCAACAGAGAAGTCTTTACAGGGAATCAGGCTTACTCTGCTCACCTCTCTAGCTTCAACAGCATAAAGTCTGTTTCGACTTTCAAGGCACCCCGGAAATAGCGGGTCACTATAGTGTGACAAACATACCAAAGAAGTAGAGGAAAAGGGACAATAGAAAGGATTAGGAAAGAAAAAGCGCCAGTTCCCTGTTGTAGATCAGGAACAGTTATTAGCGTGACGTTGATGAATCAGCCCATTTACTGTGCATGAACGAGAAATGTTCCCCCTTTGGGAATGGCCTAAAGACACTTCAGCCAGTATAACTTTATGAAATGTACTTGACATGTCTGAGTGCGGAAAAAGTCACGCATATAACAAAAACTTCTATTCATCTTGGGTTTATAAGTATAACCCACCCAGCCACTAGGTTTTTTTTTTTTTTAATTGTTTGCATTTTTTTGGTAAGCGTTTTACGGCACTTGCAACACAATAAGGTCATATAAGTGCTGAAGATTAGATGTGCTGCAAGAGAGTAAAAACACAAAAAGAAGGAGGAGAGATAAAGACGATAGATGTTTGATAGGAAAGAAGAAGCAAACCACACATTCGAGCTCTCGTTAACCACCCATTCACATAGATGATCAATAAGAAAGAAGAAGCAAACCACACCATGGAGCACTCACCAACCACCCAGTGCCATACCTTCCTCAAGAACTGAACTTGATCAGTCTTGTGTAATACTTTAGTAAAGAGTTTTACGGCAATTGCAACACATGACAAAGGAGCAAAATCTTTTCAAGCGTATGATGCAGTAGAAAAGAAAATACAGAGAAGAAAAGGACAAGAGATATGGTTTAATAAGAAAGAAAAAGGAAACCACGCCATCGAGCACCCACCAACCACCTACTCACAAAGATACTTGACAAGAAAAAAGAAGCAAACCACCCAGTGCCATACCTTCCCTAAGAACTGAAATTGATCTGTCTCGTTTAACGTTTTAGTAGAGCGTTTAAGGACAAGAGATAAGGTTTGATAAGAAAGAAGGAGCAAACCACACCATTGTGCACCCGCCAACCACCCAGTGCTATACCTTCCTCAAGAACTTAACTTGATCAGTCTTGTTTAATGTTTTAGTAAAGAGTTTTACGGTCATTGCAACCCATGACATGAGAGTAACATACAGAGAAGACTAAAACCAATACAGAAAAGAAAAGGACAAGAGATAAGGTTTGATAAGAAAGAAGAAGCAAACCACACTAATGAGCGATCTGTGAATGTGCACACGACCAAGAGGATGCCAACCATAATATCCTTCAGCAGTGCCCGCGCTACGCCACCCTTCGTACACAGACGTATCAGGATGTGACCCCCCCCCCCCCCCCTTGAGAGAAAGCTCTATGGCAGTCTCTCAGATTTGAAGCGAACTGCA